TCTCTCTCTCTCTCTCTCTCTCTCTCTCTCTCTCTCTCTCTCTCTCCCTCTCTTTCTCTCCCTTCCTTCCTTGAAACATAATCTCATATAATGCTGGCCTCTAACTCAGATGTGCCTGAGGCTAGACTTAAAGTTAACTCACCATGTACCTGAGGCTAGACTTAAAGTCAACTTACTAAGTGGCTGAGGCTAGATTTAAGTTAACTCACCATGTGCCTAAGGCTAGACTTAGAGTTAACTCACTATCTACCTGAGGCTAGACTTAAATTTAGCCCCCCAAAGTGTTGGGTGTGCACTGCATCTCCATACCAGACTTCAAATTTCCTCAGAAGATTTTCAGCGACCCTCCCTGTGCAGCAGAAGAACAAGAAGTGGCCGGTGGCACTCCTCTTACTTGCCCTCCCCAGTTCAAGGAAAGGTGGAAGGATTAAGACGGAGAGGGGAAGCCACGGCAGCATAGGATAGAGGTAGAGGTGAGATGGGGGGGGCATGACAGGATTCTATTTGATACTGATACTTACCCCAGATATTGGCACACCTTCCAAGGCCCCAGCTTTCTGATAAAAATTTTAAAAAGGGTTAGGAATAGTCACAAAAGTTTGGCTCTAGTAACATAACCGCTCTAGGAACAAACAAGAGCAACATGCCGAAGGATGTGAGCGGACAAGACAACAGCAAGTGTTTAGCTACATGAGCAGGGCAGAGACAGAGACTTGAAGTAGTCATAGTAGCGTTGGAAAAGGAACATGAACACTGGACTAGCAGTCAGAAGACATGGGCTCTACTGGTTAGTCAGTGGTAGGCATCAAGCAGGCTGCTGAATCGCTCTACACAACTTCTTTACAAAACGCCACCTGGGCGATGTGATCGCAGATCAAAATTAGTGCTTCGCTATCATTGCTGCAATTATGAAACAACCAACATATTTGTAAGTAACTATCAAACGAGCGTGGAAAATAGTTTCTGGAGGCCTGTGTTGGATCAACTGCTTTGAAGAACCAAGAGTGCTTGGATTCTAGACATGTACTCAAAAAAAGTTCAATTTAGAAAAGTAACAGTTAACTTATGAATGATGTTTCTTATTTCAATTGGTATGGCCTGCAAGAAGCAAAGTGAGATTTTAGTGGGTGCCAAAACTTTATAAAATAGTTTTTGAAGAAACATCACAAGGCAGAGGATATACTCGGTGCAACAGTTACTACCTAGCATATGCTGGGCCCCAGGTCTGGTTCCCACGGCCACAGCAGGGAAACATTATGTCAGAGCAATTTCAACTGATATTAAGGAAGTAGAGAAATTAAGGAATGTAATCCTGAAAAGGAGGAGGATAGCAGAAAGAACACTAAATGAAAACCTTCAGACTTCTCCTTTGCCTACCATTTGCTAGCAAATGGCCCTGGGACCTGTAGTGCCCTACCTGTTAACATGAAGACGATAACAGTAGTACCCTCCTCGTATAGAGAGATATATGGAAGCCCTTATCAAAACAGCCTCGAGATTCTTAATGTTTCTTTCATGCTTTCCGGTTAATAAAACACTGGCTAGTTTTCAAGGGTCGACTTCTGGTGCTAGGGCTCAAACCCAGCACCTACTGAAAAGTAAGTAAGTCCTTTACTGCTGAGCTACATTCCCTACCTAAGACCTGATGCTTTATTTATTGTATATATTCTTTGAAAATCAACCTGGATACTAATAAGGATTAGACTACCTTCGATCTTGATAATTCATTGTAAGAAGTCTATTTATCCCTTCAAAATGATCACACTTTAAAGCAATCTAAGGAGTGTTCAGGCATGTAAAGCGCTCTGTTTTCTTTATGGGGAGAGGCTTCTGGAGGATTCCAGGAGGTTCCTCTGAGGAAGCATGCAGAAAAAGTGACAGTGCATTTCCAACTAACTGGTCTGAAACAGTGGGCAAGACATCAGAGAAGATGGATATTTGGATATTAAAAAAACACTTCTAATTTCCCTACTACGCTCAAGACCAAAGTACGTCACAATTGTACTTTGCAGTGAGTAGTATCCAAATCTCCGGAAAACTCCCCCAGAATTTTAGAACCATTTATTTTAATCTTAGGGAAAACAAATAAACAAGAGTCTGCCTCCTCGAAAAATATAAAACATGACTGTAGCTTATAATATTTTGGAAGGTTAGGCAAATTCTAGATACATTTGTTCAGTGAATGGACTTGTGCTTGTCTGAAAAAAATCAATGGAAATGCACTGTATCTTTTCAAAACGAACGGGTGGCATAACCGGTGGGTAGCCTACTCACCAGACTATGAGAGATTTTCTATAGTCAGCAAGGGGGAGAGAGGGGGACAGAAGCATAATATTTTAAATGCAAGAGAAAACTAGGCCAATTAAATAAATGTTTTCTTTCTATCATCCTCTGAAGCTCTTTCAAAAATAGCCTCTTCTGCTCTGCCCCAAGCGAATGTGCGATCACTTCGGAACTCTGAAAGCGCTATAGCTGAGCAGTGGCTGCGCCTGCCTTAAGCAACTCCATGCTGCCCTAAAAAGCCCTCCTCGTATGCAGAGCACTTAAAATCCTTCCTCAAGCATTATCTAGAGCACCTGGTGTCCACTTCTATTTTTATTAACTGTCTGAATGGAGTTCCTACTGTTTTTCATGAAACGGCTAGCTTTGAGGCCTCCTTAAACTTATTCTTAAGTTTTATCATGAACTTCAGTTTTGTGTGCTTAAATACCAGTTCAAACCCTCCTAAAGGTTTCTATTCCTGATACTTGGCTACAGATTTTCAGTGACGCTAGGCACACTTACTTTTCTCCCTCTGGGAGAAATGAAGTGCCCCGTTATGGAAATTGCCTTAATGAGCAAAGCGATTTAGAAACAGACTCTTTACTTTCAGTTTCTTTGTTAAATTGTTCCAAACTGACAAGGAATGAGCTATATAACAATGGTTCAGCCCCTGGAAGGGATTAACTAGGGGAAAGAAGACCATGGATGGAGATAGCATTGTTCTAACTCAAAGGCAGACATCACAGCTACCACAGTTACTTGGAAGAGTAAACTGGCCTAAATATTCCCACACCACTGCTGAGAGTTAGGTTACTGATCAATAATACTTAAAAATATTAATATTCAAAAGACAAAAACAGTATTACTGAAAGAAAAGCCGACTCAAGTTTATAAATATAAAAACAACTGGTAGTAAGAACTTGAAGTTTTTAGTTATAAAGCCATTTAAAAACATTAAATTCTTATTTTACATACTATGGACATTAACAGAGAAAGTCCCAAATCCCAAACCATAAAACACAATAAAGTTGACTGTTGAATTCTAAACGGCAAAGGTCTTTCTTTTTTAATAAAATCCCCTGCCCCTACTATTGATTTTACCATTAGGCCATAGATCTCAGAAGAACTCCGGACATTGGGAAGAATTTCCATTGGAATTCCAAAAAATCTGAAAAATAAGAGCCTTGCGTATATAACACTGTTTTGAATAAACATGTAGAAACATTTTTAAACATAAGTAATTAGAAAATAGGTACATGTGAGCCTAGACTTCAATAGCGGTAAACATATAATAGTCAAGAGAACATGTTTGGGTATTTGACAGTCTAACCTTGAAAAACAAATCATTACAAATTTTAAAGCATACTCAGAAACCAAAGAACTTTTCTAAAAGAAGCTAATCCATAAAGGATACCTAGTACGACATGCTGATTCTATCTATGCGTCATGGCTATGTTTGGTGCAATGACTCAGCAGGTCAAGACACTTACTAGCAAACCTAAGGACCAGAGCTTGATTCGTGGAATGCAAAGGGCAAGAGAAAACTGACTCATACAGATGCCCTCTGGCCTACACACACACACACACACACACACACACACACACACACACACACACA